TTATAAAGCATATGCATATGTGTAACACAACAGGTGGCAACGCCAGAACAATATCAATAACATATTGTATATCTGGCAAGCTGTGAAAGTTTCAACTTCTTCAGATGTTTAGTTAGCTTTTTGCAAATATTTGAAATAGTGTAGCTTGGTAATTTTTTATGAAATGGAAAAAATTGCATATCGTGTAGAAATAAAATTCCTCCATGTAAAATCAATGAAAAATGATGCAATCAAATTGATAAATAAAATATTGGAAAACTTAATTTTAAACCTGGTCATACAATCCGGTATATTTATTTAAAAAACTTTTTTTATTAAAATTCTACCGCAAATTTGTTTGAATTTTTATTACTTGTGATATGTTTACTGGTTTAGATAGTGATGCCAAGTTATACTTACGCTACAAAAGTTGTTCATGTCAAAAGAATACATCTATAATACACCTATTATTTTTTTTTTGTAGAAATATTTTAAATTGCATTCGTCATTCAAAACAGTATTTGGAAACAATGGATGAAACATGGATCCATTTCTACACACCTAAGGGTAAACAATAACCCAGAGGATGGGTACAGCCTAGGGGTAGTATTCCGAAATAACCAAGTACTCAACAATGTGCTGGAAAAGTGTTGACTCCGGTATTTTGGAATTTAAGTGGAATAATTTTCATATACCTTTTGGAAAAAGGAAAGACAATAACATCAGACTACTATTGCATATTATTGTATCGTTTGAATGAAGAAATCAAGAAAAAACGACCACATTTGTGGATAAAGAAAATTTTAAGTAAACATAGTTGAGTTGTTGTCAATCTTCATAGTTAGATCTTCATAGTTAAAATTATGTTAATCATTTTTAACATTGAAAACTTTTATGCAGAGGTCTTCAACCGAAATTTTTAATCATAACAATAAAAATTCTCCTTCTGTTTTTCTGCCAAAGCGAGCAAATGACGGTTCAGTGTTGTATTTTATTTGTTTTTATTTTATTTGCAATACTCTTATAAAAAACAAACAACAAATTTGCAACAATAATTTGTGTTGCTTACTATTGGAGTTGATTTTTATTATTGGATACAAATGAGCTTAGTAGTGCCGTGCTTGCATGCGTAAGTGAAGTTTACTTGATAATTGATAAAAATTTAATTAAATAGGGTAATTCATATGCATTGTTTGCTATTTTCGCTATATATTGACATATAGATGTGTTATCTCTTGTAATTTTTGTTGTAATAAATAATGAATTTTATGCACACATAATAAAAGTATATTTTGAAATTAGCTGTTTATTAGTTCATTTAGTTCAAAATTAAAAAAAAAAATGTCGCATTTTAAATTAATTTTTTAACGATTGAAAGTTTCAAATAGTAAAAAAAAAAAAAGCAAATGAAGCAAAAAAAAAACCAAATTGAATAGCTAATCAGATCGTTTTTAATAATAAAATTAATACAATCAATAAAAATTCAATAAATAGTAGAAGTATTTAGACCTGCTCGGTAACTAGGTAAAGAAATAAAACTTTATGTGCATTTGTTTTTGTTAAATTACAATATTACCGAGTTATCAAAATAGCAGCTGATTTTTTTTAATCTCAAGTATTGTACCAAAAACAATTATGGTGTACTGATGGGTCCAAAATGGAAGATGGCAATGCAGAAGCAAGAATTATGGGAAAAATAATAATTATGGGAATAATGGTAAAAACCGGTTCCACTTTTCAGGCAGATGTACATGCCTTAGAACTATGTGCGAGAGAATGTCTACGCAGAAGCACCCAAGATACCAAAGTATGCATTCTTTCGAACAGTCAAGCAGCTCTAAAATCTTTAGCAAACTCTTCCTTCCAATCCAAGTTGGTCTAAGAATGCTTTCAACTTTTCAATACCATAGCATCGAGAAAATATGTGACCGGGACATGAATGGTATGAAGGCAAGGAAATAACAGACTCCCTAGCAAAGAAGGCTGCATCTACTCCTTTTATTCGTACAGATCGCTTCTGCGGGATAACAAATAGCTTCACAAATAACTTATTATTTAAACGTGAGAAACAAAATCTACTTGTACACTGAAGATCCCAAACAGACATGCGGCTGTCAAGAAGATTCACTGATCGTGAACACACAAAAGTTGACGCTATCCTTATCCTTAGCAGAAAATCTACACTGAACTTCTAACTGGACATTGTAGACTTAATTATCACATGAAGATTATAGGTGCGGTAGAAAGTGATTTCTGTCGATTTGAACAAAACATCAGAACATATGCTATGCAACTGCCTAGCGGTAGACTCGACTACTATGGAAGCGGGATCTGAGGCCCAAATCAAATAGGTAAAATTAAGCCTACAGAAATTACGAGATTAATATATAGTCTAGAATTGTTTTAGATTTTTTTGAGTCGGGGTGCATTCATAGCCTATAATTTAATAATAATAATAATTGTACAAAAGCTAAATTTAATTTGAACTTTGAAGTGTGTTTGGAAATAATATTATAAGAAATAAAGAAAATTGATAAAAAATTAAATAAAATAAGAAGTTTAATTTTAATTTTAAATGTCTTTCTTTCACTTTTTCTCGCATTTATTAACAACATAACAAATAAAAAATTTCAGATGCCTTGGTTTCTTAAATTTTACATATTTACCGAGAAAGAATTAATAGGGACGTTTAGACGTTTGTCATTTCATCACTTTACCGAATACCAAATTACCGAACAGAAACAAAATCTAATAACTAAATGTATTGATTTTACTTGTTTCTTAAGTAAATATAAATTATTATTATTATTATTAATATATTTTTTATGTATAAATATTTCTTTTTAATATTTTTTTTTATAAAAAAATATATATAACAACGATATGGGATAACTCCAAGAAGACATCAGACGTATGAAAAATAGACTACTTGCTAAACAATTATCTAATTATCTGTTACAATGCGCTAATTACGCTGGTATAAAGGGAATGTTTAATAATAATACTTTTCTTTGAATCACAACAAAAAATTTAATAAAATTAAGATAAAACCTTTTTTTTTGTAGATAAGTTCGAAAATAAAAAATGTAAACAGTAATAGAACATTAAGTCGGCTTCAGCTTATCTTACGTGAGTCAGCAATTTTTACCCAAAAAAAGTTCAAGTATTAACACTAACTCTTAGAGCTTGGAGAAAAGCATTTATGAAATTTTAATCCATTTCTATTGTTGAATTGATTAAATAGAATTGATTTTGAATGAGAAATCACAAAATTCTTTCAATGTTATAAATTTATTTTTATTTCTATTTAAATTTTATATTAATTACTAGACTTATTTTTTCTTTGCTTTTGTTACAACTTCCATCTATAAGTACTATGTTAGAATTTAAGATTTGAATGTGTTAATTTTATTATAATATTTAATTCTCATAGAGATAAACCCTAAAATGAGTTAAATGCTAGTCTAAACACATAACAATATATTTTGGAAACAACCAAAGCATTTAACTAAAATTGTAAAGGGTAATTGCTTAAATTTTCTGATAAAGGTGCATCCACACCAAAGCGAACGCTTGCTAACGAACGAACTTTTGCAGGTACGATTACCTGCGAATGCACCTTAACGCACTATAACTACAGTCAAACTTCTCTATAGCGAACTTCCCTATAATGAATTCCTCTCTATAACGAAGTTTTATTGAAGACACAGAGATTTTTTATATTTTTTCATATATTTGAACCTCTCTATAGCGAACCTCTCTCTTGCGAATTCCTCTATAACAAAGTACGAAGGTACGTAAGCAAACCTCTCTATAGCGAACCTCTTTATTGCGAATTCCTCTCTATAACAAGGTACGAAGGTACGTATGTTAAACAAATTTTTACATACAAAAAAACCTCTCTATAACAAATTTATTCAGATGCAAGTTAAACACTCTTGACTCTTTCAACATGTTGAAGAAAAAGTTAAAATGTCCAAATAAACAAAAATAATAGATTTTTTTCGAGTTGAATAAAATATATTATAAAAATATAAATTCTATATAATAATAAATTAAATAGTAATTAATAAAAATAGTTTTTTTTAAATACAAACCAATATATGTTTATTGTTTTAAATATGAAGGTTTATTTATTTAGTTAATTATGAAGGTTTATTTAAATAAACATACATTTTTTTTAAAATAAATACATAATTATAGTACTTAATTACTAGTAGAATGGAAAAAAAAAAAAGACCAACAAAGGAATATTTGTTTAACCTCTCTATAACGAGGTTTTTTTCAGGCACCAACGACTTTGTTATAGAGAGGTTTGACTGTAGTTACATCGTTACCCATTTACCTCAAATACGTGAATACCGTTAGTGTTGAAACAAATATATTAATTAGGTAAAGTTTTCCTGCAGATAATTATAAATGACTGGCCTAGTAACAATGTTAATCAGGGTCATTTTTGCAAATAATTTAATATTTTTAAAAAATACTAAAAACAACCAAGAAATAATTTTTACTTTACGAAATCTTAAAAAAATTATTATGAAGAGGTTTTTCGAACAGTAATGAACTACAACAACAAAAATTAATTTTATATTATTTTAATTAATTGAATTTTTATTAATTATAATTTGATATACGAGTGCCAATCTTTAAATAGAAAAACACTGGTACACTGTGATCTTTTCGATATATTGTGCTAGCTAGCAATTTCGTCTATAAAGTATTATTATAATAAATATTCTTAATTGAATTTTTTTGTTTTTTAATAGTTTAAAAGTTTAATAAAAAAATTTAATAAAAAAACACTAATAGAGCAAAATGCAAAAGTTTAAATTTTATCGAGCTTTTTACTTGGCGGTAATAAAAAAAATAGTTTCTAATTGTGCTCTTTGAAGACTAAAAGCTGTACGCGAAAGCTTTTGATTTAAGTGAATAAGAAAGCTTTTGTTAACCAATTTGACATTTCAATAATATTTAACTTGTGACTTGTGTCTCTTAATTTGCAAAAGTGCTCAGTTTTTTATGAAGTCAGTAAATAGCAACGTTGATGAAAGTGTGTGTTTTATGAGTTCAGTTGTCAGATAAAATTGCCAACGGTAGGTCGTTTTCTTTCTTTGCAACGGACTGAGCACACACAAAACATGTCACTCGACAACCAGAAACTGAAATTGTACTACAACACAGCTTTGAATTTGGTTATGAAATGTGGTCCATTGATGAGGGAGGGTTACGAGAAGGCTGCAGATAATTTCAAAGTAAAATCAGATTTCTATGACTTAGTCACTGTTTACGACAAACAAATCGAAGATATTTTAATCGAAGGTTTACAAAAAGAATTTCCAGAATCTAAATTCATTGGAGAAGAAGAGTCAGCAATTAGTAAGCGTGAAGCCGAACTCACTGATGACCCCACTTGGATTATCGATCCCATCGATGGCACCTCAAATTTTATACACAAAATCCCACATTGCTGTATATCGGTTGGCCTTGCCATCAATAAGGAACTGGTCGTTGGCGTTGTTTACAATCCCATAGCAAATGAATTGTACTCAGCTTACAAGGGACATGGCGCATACTTAAATGGACAAAAAATACATGTCACCAATTGCGCAAATGTGAGCATTACATAGAAATTAATTTATTATTTTTTTTTAAAGCAGTAAGATTATATAATATTTTAACAAAAATAGTAAGAAAGTGCCAAAAATATCGTAGATAAGAAAATTATGATTATTATTTCGAAAATTTGGTTGCAAGTGAAGATATATGACAAGCGTAATATAATTTTGTGGACGGCACTACACCAAGGTACCTACTCTGAACTTTTCATAGGGTTTGCTAAGTGCAAATAAACTCTACTAATTGACGAAATATTGCATTACCGAAACTCGCTAAGTAACAAACAGATTTCATTACATGTGAGTTAATATGGGATAATTAAATTATTAAGTTTACAATAAAATAAAACCGCAGTAAAACAATAAAATACAACACAAACAGAACAATACGAAAACGGGCAAGTTTGGATGCATTTCTTTACATGCTATCTTAAATATTACGGGTTTTATAATATAATTTATTATATTAGAATTTAATTTTTTTTCCCCTGCTTTTGTTTAATTTACTGCATTTTATGATCATATATAATTGAATATTTTTGAAAAGAGAACAGCATATAGTTACATCTACATATATAAAATTTTATATATTAACTCAGATAAGGAGTGCTGTTGTAGGATATGAAATCTCGCTCATACATGCCGAACGTGTACGTGATAAGAATGTGAAACGTTTAACCAAATTGGCGTCGAATAGCACAAGGTAAAGTTGAACATTTAAAAGAAGAAGAAAAAAAAGAAGAGTAATATTTTGAATATTCTGCATATTAATTTACAGCACACGGAGTATGGGTAGCGCTGCACTAACACTATGCTATGTAGCTAAAGGCAACTTTGATTGCTATCATGTGGAAGATTTAAAATCTTGGGATATAGCTGGTGGTGCAGTCATTTTACGCGAAGCTGGCGGTGTATTACTTCATACTAAAGGCGGTGAATTTAATATTATGAAACCAGATTTGGTATGTGCCGCTACAATGGACCTAGCAAAGGATGTAATGAGACTAATTGAAGAAGCTAACCAAATTACTGAGTACACTATCAATTGAAAACACTAATAACATAAAAAATGCAAATATTTATCATTAGCTAAAAGTTAGTTATGTTAAACTAAATAGAGAAATATTAAATAAAGAGTTATAACTTACATTTGGCGGCATGCCGTGCGTTTGATAACCCATGGGTGGCATATTTGGGCCTTGTGGTGGCATTTGCATGCCCATGTGAGGTGCTAAAATAGTATAAATCCCACATAAGCGTTTATGTATTTTTATTTTAATATTAAACTTACGCATTGCTTGATGATGTGGTGGCATATGATGATTTTGTGGGGGACCTGGTGGTCCTGTAGGTGGTGGACCTTGACCTGGAGGTCCATTCATATGTGGAGGTCCACCTTGCTGCGTTTGCTGTTGCGGCCCCGCACCAGGCGGACCATGTTGTGGTACACCATGTGGTGGTGGATGTGATATTTGTGGTCCAGCATTAGGAGCTCCACCAGGTGGTGGTGGTCCATGCTGATTGGGTGGTACCTGGCCATGAGGTGGTGGTGGACCATGTGGTGGCACACCATGTTGATTAGGCGGTAAAGGTCCGTGCTGTTGCAATTGCGGTGCACCATGTGGAGGTCCATGTTGTGGCACATGTTGCATAGGATGTCCATAAGGTGCACCTGGATGTCCGGGAGGAGGCGGACCATGATGACCGGGTGGTGGTGGACCATGCTGATTTGGAGGTGGAGGTCCTTGCATATGGCTTTGTTGTGGAGGAACATGTGGTCCAGTAGGTGCTCCCGGTGGACCTTGTTGCCCTGGCTGTCCTGGTGGAACTTGACTTTGAGGTTGATGAGGGTATGGACTATGTGAAGGCGACGGCGCCGGGCTTTGAGAAGGTGGACCCATCGGGCTTGGAGCTTGAGGTGGCGGCATTGGACTGTTTGCTGGCGAAGGCGATGCCATATTATTTTCTTATTTATATAATATTACTTTAATGCACTATGTTGTCACTAACAATGATACACCAAAGCACACAATCCAACCAGTAATTTTTTTTTTGATATAAACCACTTGTATAATATACACTCCGTATTTAATAGTAAAAAATAATGTTCTCCATATTTTTCTAACGAACTTTTTGTATTCAATATTCACAGTTTTGTTGTTATATTTCTATAAAATACTGCATTCATATCTTTTGCAAAATGTAGACGACGCGACGGAAAATGTTAATGGCCGAAATAAAAAGTGAAAACCGTGCTACCAGATCTTTATTATCGTCATTAACAATAACCAAGATTTCAAGTAAATGTATTGTATTTATTACAAATGATAACAATAGATTATTGATATTTTTATTTTAACATTTACCACAAAATTATTTGAGTATAAATGTAATTAATTTTATGATTAAACCATATCCGAAATATGTAGTGCTTGTTTATTTCATATTTTTTTTGGTGGCAGCATTATGATTTGCCGGTATTGAATCGGTACAAAAATTAACATTTTTAACATAGATATGTGTTAATAATATAAATATGTATAGTTTTAACAAAAAAATGAATTCGCGTAACAGAAATAATAAATATATTAAAAATTATGTGTGCAACATATAACTTAAAATAAACTTGACTCCTTGAACACAAAAATTATCGACACGTCTCTCGTTCAACGTCATTTTTGACGTTTTGTCAACCGATTCGTTTAATTGTCAAAAATAGAGAAGACACTTGCAATTATTCTTCTTAAGTTGTAAAATTAACATCAAAATTATAAATATTCGTGTGTACGAAGATTGTATATAAGTTACTTGGAAATTACTGGTGTTCATTTGTTTAAGTTATCTCCTAAAAATTAAAAATAAAAAAATATGGGTACGATTTTGGTGTTGATGTTTAATTTGCGTGAGTCAACAAATATATTGAACCTGATTGTTTTTAAATTTCAGGTGGTGTATTAAGTTATTTTCGAGGTTTACTGGGTTCCAGGGAAATGCGAATTCTAATACTAGGTTTAGATGGCGCCGGCAAAACAACAATACTATATAGACTACAAGTTGGCGAAGTTGTCACAACAATACCAACAATTGGCTTCAACGTAGAACAGGTTACATATAAAAATTTAAAATTTCAAGTATGGGACTTGGGTGGACAAACAAGCATCAGGTAAGTGATAAAAAAGTAATGGATTTATATAGAAATAACTATTTATTCCTTAAGACCTTATTGGCGATGTTACTATAGTAATACAGATGCTATAATATATGTGGTTGATTCTGCAGATCGTGATCGGATAGGCATTTCCAAAGATGAGTTACTATATATGCTAAGAGTAAGATTTTAACAAAAAAAAACTGTACATTTGTTAAATATTTCTTATTTAAAGGAAGAAGAACTTGCCGGCGCCATACTAGTCGTCTTAGCCAATAAACAAGATATGGAAGGATGTATGACAGTTGCTGAAGTACACCATGCGTTGGGTTTGGAAAACCTTAAAAATCGGACTTTTCAAATATTTAAAACATCAGCGACAAAAGGGGAAGGTTTAGATCAAGCTATGGACTGGCTCTCAAATGCATTACAAAGTCGTAAATAGTCCAACATTGCATCCAAATATAAATTACGTTTATTCAATGTATTTTCAATTATTTTAAAATAAGAAAAAACTAAGCTAAATTATTGCAGAGAATTAATAGCATGCGTGAGTTGTAATACTTTTCTCTTATAACTACCACAGTCATGTAAAAAGATTTTTTCCTTACAACAAATATGTGTAATATACCTACAGACAAGGCAAGGATTTAGTTAAGCATTTTTATAAATCTATATATATATATATTTATTTATATATATATACATACATATATTTTTCTTCACGTATGGAACTCCTGTTTTAATGTTGCGCAACTTAAAATAGAATAGAAGAAACTTTGTAAGAATAAAACTTTGTAATATCGTAAATTAAGTGATACTTAATAAATTAAAATAATCAAGACATTGTTTATTAATGTATAATGTAGAATTTATTTATCTTTAACGATTAAAAACAATTTTGTGTAGTTTACCATTCCGGTAAACCATACCTTCTTACACGTTTTTCTTGCGTATCTAATTCCATGCGTACTTTTTGTCTCATATAAAAAATTGGGCAATCTCTGTTGCTGCATATAACTTCTTCATGCAATGATCCTTGACAACGCTGGCATTCTGTCCAAAGTCTTGAAAAAGTCTCTTCCAGTGATTGTTTAGCAATAACTTCTTTTTGATAAAGTTGACTCATTTTAGGTTCACAATGAGGACACAATGCTGCATTTTCATAACCTTTCGGCATCAAAGCTTTACATCCCAGACAAGATGTCTTTTTGGTCATAAATCCGGCTAAACCACCAACCTTCGAAGTTACTACAGTACGTGTGCGAGTATGCTCACCCTCTAGAAAGTAAAAAATTAAAAAAGTGTAATCATTTAGCATAAAAAGTTTTTAAGTACTTAACAACTAATTACTACACATTAAGTATACTTACTTAGTAAGACGGATTCTGCTTTATCGCCTAAAATGGGCTCAAAAATTCTTAATAGAGGTTTAGATAACTGCTGTTCTAAGTAATAATTTGAATCAATAGGGACACAATTTTCAAGTACAAACAGTGGGTCCTCTGCTTTTTGGTATGCTGGAGTATTCTTTGTTGCAGCGCAAATAACGTAAGGCACTCGATCACCTAATTTTGGTGCAGTCCCAGCATCACGTTTGGCCATTTTTTTAGCCAGTTCAACATGTGCTTGCTTGGCGGCATAATCTTCACTTGTCTTCGTTAACTCTTTTGTTATAACCAACTGCGATATATCTATACGGTTGCACAACAGATCGGAAATAACTTGTTTAGCATATTCAACTGCGCCGTCTGGATTACGTTCAATAAGCAGTTTTTGTAGACATGTATTCATTAAGTTTGCAACCAGAGGAGAATTATCCCTGCGCACAGTTTCAATTCCTGTAATTAAATTATTTTATATAAATATTTAATTTTATGATTATTATTTTAAATGTATACCTTTGCAATCCATTTTGTCATACTTGTCCACACGTGTGAAATATAAGCCAGCATAGCGTTTCTTATTAATTAATAAATAAGGGAAGTAGACCTTTTCAAACTCCAATTTAATTGGTCGAACAAATTTTGAACTAACTAATGCCGCAGCTTCGCGACCTAATTCCATACTTCGTTCTAAAGTCTTAACTCCAAAATTTACCATAACGGAATCTGTATCTCCATATATAACTACAGCATCGTTTTCATAGCCATTTTCACGAGTGTAGTGTGATTCAACTTCATTTTTTGTCATCTCTATCATAGTTCTTCCATAAGCAGTAACACTTCCTGATATTTCCAAACATGGTAGTTTGCCAACTTGAGCCCCTGTAAACCCATAAACAGAATTTGCTGATATTTTTAATGCCAATTGTCGACCATCGAGCACTTTTTGTTTAAAGGGATCTGTTTCCACCTAAATGATATAAAATATTAAAATATTAATATTTTATTTAAAATAATAAAAATATTATATTATATGCGAGTATTTCAATTTTGTACAACTCACTTTCAAATCATTTTTTGCTTTTTTTCTAGCCGCCAATAGCGATTCCAATATTTCTGGTAGCAACCCGCGTCGTACCTCAGCTTTTACAAAAGCATTATTGGCGGGAGTGCGCTCAAACTGGTCGGAGTCTAAATTCAATTTCTCCACAAAACCTGGACGCAGTAATGTTGTGTAACATAAATTATGTGCCATCATTATACTCGGGTACAGAGAGGCAAAATCTAAAGTTGAAATTGGATCTGCATAATAGCCCCTTTTTGGTTCAATAACCGTCGCTCCTTCATATTGCTCATCAGAACCTTGTGACGTATACGAAGGCATAATAAAGTTTTTAGTTTTAGCTTTTCGAAGCAATTGACTTAACACTTTGATTTGTTGGCCACGGGTGAGTAACGATTCCAATGTTACACCCGTTACTCTAGCCATTTCCATATAATTTACAATAGACATTAGTTTTTCGAGCAAACGCAAGGGTAAATAAGCGTCTTTCAAGCAATACATACCCAGACGGCGACGAGTCTGATCGTCCCCATTTTGCAAATCGGTGATAATACTGTGATGTACATCTTCTTTTTGTTGCTGCAGAAAGTGATAACTGACTGCATTGAGCGTATAGGAACGCAGTTTATAATCTCGCAAAAGCACAAATAATAAATCAAAAGGCACACGCCCTTCAAAATTCACGTATTTATTTTCTCTTTTGCCCATCTGCTTAGATTGCAATACTTGTTCCTTTATAACAGAACGTATATTTTTAATCCGCCCAAGGTATTCAAAATTTCTAACATTTAGATGAGCTGCTCGATTAATCAAATATGGTATATCGAAATTATTAATATTATAGCCAGTGAGTATATCTGGATCTACTTCACGTACAAAATTTGACCAAGCATCAAGTAAATCCTGCGAAGGATGAGAAACAATAAAGCTTTCTATTAGTAAATTAACAAAAAAATTACCGTTTCTTTGTCAAAACATAAAACCTGTGATCCAACTATAGGTGCACATGTTTTTAGCGTGAAAACATTTCTTATAAAAGGCTCTGGATCACCTTGTCTAATAACCATATTCGCAATTTGAATTACTGGATCCATTTTGGCTTCTGGAAAAATACCTTTACGTCCAGCACATTCAATATCAAAAGATAAGATACGAAACGGTGCTACTTTGGACCACTCGCCCTCAGGTTCATGCGAAATAAATTTATCAAAAGCAACATCAACTTCTAATTGGCAACGAGATTCAGGCAATGGTTTTGAATTACGATGGCGAAAACGCCAACTTCCAGCTGGCAATTCTATCCAATTGCAGCCAACTACTCCAGTTTCAACCATAAACCGTATGTCAAAATCTATATTATTTTCAAAAGCACCACAATCTTGAAAATCGAACTTATCATAAATAATTTCCTTCTTTAGTAGACGAGAGGAAGCCGCCACGAATTTTTGCATTGATACAGTGATTTTTATAAAGCGCTGCATTTCATCGCCTTGATAACCATATATGTTCATGCGTTCCACCAACTGTACTTGCAACACCGCTTCCTGTACATTTTCCTTGTTGCTGCGCATATCAGCCAGCACTTTTTTATTTAATGCAGTTCGAAATTCGTGACAGTCAGCTTGTTCAAACTGGCGTGGAGCTGATATATAAAAGTATGGGCAAAAGCCATGAACATGGCAACACACAGAATTTCCTTCCATAGTGATTCCATACATGCGTATAATCGGAACTGGACCAATTTGGGATCCCGGCATACCTGGTAACGGAGCACCAGTATAGTTTTCTATATCAATCTGTTGAAAAGTCAGCGAATCGGTCTCTGGGTCTAGTTCTGGAGGATCAACACGAGACCATTTTATTGAAGTTTGCTGATTTTCTGGCCCTTCACCAAAAAGTTGAGTTTGGTCAAAATCTTCGGAATCAAATGCTGCTAACTCTGCTTCGAATTCATTTCCAACATCGTCGTCATCATCATTATAATTACTACAAGTGAAATTTTTTTATTAATTAAAACTTACAATAGGAGCCACTTACCGTTGCTTCTTATTTGGAAATCCATTGTTTTTCCCACTCTGCGGCTTAGAGTTGTCAAACTTCCTTTTTCCGCCCGTTCCACTCATAGCCTAAAATACAATATTTGATTTAACTAAATTTCGTTTAATAAATAAAAATCAGCATTCAACCGCGATGCTTGCAAAACAGTCAAAATAGCGCGAATTTTTTGAATTGTCAATTAAAACCGCACATTCACAATAGATCGAAATTACAAATGTCAAAAAAGAAAAAAATGTTTGGTCGATTTATTAAAAGTCTTTTTTTTCTTTGCAGCTTTTCTTACGTTGAACCTAAATATTTAAAATCATTTTACATTTTGTACATTTTATTAAATATGAAATCATATAAGACATTTTGAGAAGTGGAGCACTTTGCGCCAAGAGAAGTCCACCTGACAGAAAGAACAACTCTGACCTGAGAAATGAATGACAAAGTTATAAAACCACCCCCATCGAAGAATTGTCACAAATGTCATCGAGACAAGAAAATTTTTCATTGCGTGATAAGCGTAGAATTTAAATCGTAAAAGAAAGGATTAAACGATTAGCATTCATTGCAGATATGTAAAAATTAATGCATCGAAAAAAGCTCTGTTCAAGTTAGTTCCAAAGAGTGTGTTTTCGACTACGTTGAAGTAGGAAATTTAGAAACGTAATTGCTATGTGTTAAGTGTGTATAGAACAGTGTCCCATCGCAAGCACCAAAGGAATTATCTAGCTATTAAATTTAAAATTATTTATCATTTAAAACAATATGTACCAAAGTGCTTGTAATGCTGCTACGACGGGGTCTTGCAATGCAGGGGTGGAAACAGATCGCGATGGTAATCAACAAGCTGCATTAATATCTCAGGAACCACCAACAGCCCCAATTGAACCAGACTATAGTGGTTTCGACATTGTAAAAGCTACTCAGTATGGTGCAATCGCAAGAGTAAGGGAATTGGTTGAGGCTGGTTGGGATGTAAACCAGCCTGATAGCGAAACAGTTACACTTCTACATTGGGCAGCCATAAATAATAGACGTGATATTATTCGCTATTTTTTAGAAAAGGGAGCAGCTGTAGATGCGATTGGAGGAGAATTAAGTGCCACACCATTGCATTGGGCAACAAGACAAGGACATCTGGGTGCTGTAGTATTATTAATGTCAGCTGGTGCTGATCCCAGAATACGTGATGCAGAAGGCTGCTCTTGTATACATATTGCGGCACAATTTGCTCATACAGCCTTAGTTGCGTATTTCATTGCCAAAGGTGTAGATCCTAATTTACAAGATCGCGGTGGTATGACTGCGTTAATGTGGGCTGCTTGGAAGGTTTGTAATTTAAATTCAGTATTCCGTATAATATAGAGTAAAATGTATTACTTCTCCAGGTTTGTGCTTTAGATCCTGTAAGATTATTATTAACACTCGGAGCAAACCCAGCAATGGTTGATTATACTCATGGCAACACTGCATTACATTGGGCAATATTAGCACGGAACGCGACTGCTATTTCAACACTTGTGCTAAAATCGAAAGCTTCATTGGAAGTGCCGAATCTACGCGGAGAAACACCTTCTTCCATGCTTGAGACACAAACCGGTGCTATTTGGATAGGTGCTAAAGTAATGGACAGGGTGAAAGAATCGTCTCTTTCATCACAGCAGAAAAGGTCATTAGTGCAACGTTTACGGCATGACAAACGACTGCGCTGGTGGGCTATGGTTGCTAGCCCATTTACTGGGTTTTATTTAATTGGAATTGTTTTCACGCTCAACATACAATATATTATAAAATTTTTTTTCCTTGGTTGCTTGTATTCGATATTTCATTCACTTGGCAAGGCCTTATTTGATGAACATCTCATGGCCTTACTACCACTCAGTGTTTACTTAGCGACGAAAATATGGTTTTATATCACATGGGTTATGTTTATTGTTGACGCGGTATCTTTCGCTGAAACAGTTTGCTTCCTCATTTGCTCAATTGCTTTATGGATATGTTTTCTTAAATCATGGAAAGGAGACCCCGGCATTATAAAACCAACTCAGGAACAAAGATTTAAGGTTTGATATCAATACTAAAAACGTTTTGTATGCTACTTTTTAATTTATTTTAGACTATAGTTGAACTATCTGAACGTGGAGGTATTGGTTTTGAACCATCCTCCTTTTGTTCCGGCTGTCTTGTGCGTCGCCCTATTAGATCAAAACACTGTAGTGTATGTGACAGGTGTGTGGCTCGATTTGATCATCATTGTCCGTGGGTGGGCAATTGTATTGGGCTTAAAAACCATGCTTACTTTATGGGATTTTTATGGATGTTACTCATTATGTGCGCATGGATGTTATATGGTGGTACCAGTTTCTACTTAAATGAATGCAACGTGCGTTTTGATGGTTAGTTACTTTAATTCTTATACAATTGTGTGTCGTGTACTATATCTATTGTTCAATTTTAGACTTTTTAGAGGGACTACGACGAATAAGTAACTGCAATGCATGGGTTGGTTGGGTAATGGGAAATGCAATGTTACACATGTCTTGGGTTGTTTTGCTAACTGTATGCCAAACATACCAAATGATATGTTTAGGCATGACCACAAATGAACGAATGAATCGTGGAAGGTATAGACATTTTCAAGCCAAAGGTGGCAAAAGCCCTTTTACACGTGGGGTATTTAATAATTTGGTGGACTTCTTAGAATGTACATGTTTCGGTTTAGTTAAGCCTAAGCGAGTGGATTGGATGAACTTTTATGAAATGGATATTGAACTAAACAAGAAAATAGAACAACAACCACTGTTGCGCAGTGGTGAAAGTTTAGACGCACCAAATTATCAGTATGTGTAGGATAAGTCGAATCGGGATGCGGTGACGAGAAAAGCACCAATTGTTAATTTATAGGTGGCTTAGAATTTAACCAAATTAATATGCAAAGAGCTAAAGTTATAGATTAAGTTTCTTCAATTAAGTTATATATATTTTTTTAAAATGTATATAGATGTGATATTTTCAAACGCAAACAGTTAGTTGCATTGAAATATTTTTAGTAGTTATTTTCTGCATATACAAAATAGATTTAATATTAATATGTGCTTAATGAGTTAGTTTATCTGCTTATTAAATTATGAACAAAACAATAACAAAATATGTTAAGTTGTTAATGTTATAAAAACCCTAATCAGCAAAATCTTATATATTTTTAAAGTGAAAAGTAATAATTTCAACTTATTTTTTTCATGTTTCTATGGTGTTTATTAATTTTTATATTATTTAATATATATACTATTTATGTTCAAAATAGATTTATATGTTTTGTATTGTTTTAGTTTAAGTAATTTGAAAATAAGCTTAATTTTTTTTTTATGTAAGTGTAAGAATAAAAAACATTCTTATAAAATTATTTATGATGGAAATGTCCTAGTGACGATGTTTCATACTTCTACTTGTTTTATAAATAGAAATTTCATTCTATTTTCCTGCTTTAATTATACTTAATTTTTAGTTTAAGTTTGTTGATTTATTGTTTTATTTAAAAGTATTAAATGTTTTTTTTTCACTTTATGCTGCCTTAATAATCTTAGTATACTTTGTATTGTTGAATGCTTCCTAACCTCAATCAAGCCACCGTATTAGTGCTATTTAAATGTTATTGTAAGAAATTGTCATCGCATACCGATTCATACACAGGAAAGATACTTAAATATATTTTTATTACGATTAACTTTATATATAAGCCAAATATTTCCTTGCAATATCTTGATGTCTTTGAACAAACCTTCTAATTACGATATAAATCAAACTATACATAAAATATCAAACAAATGATACCATTTGTTTTTTTTAATTATAAATTGAAAATATAAAAATGTCTGTAAACTGTTCAATTTATGTAAATTATTATAATATAAAAATATATTTGTAGTTTAAAACTTGTATATACAACATACTTGGTAAATAATATAGAAGCGCTTTTTTATTTAATTTTTGATTATGACGCACAATGAGTTTTTTATTTATTTAAAATAAATTAAAATTAAAATTAATGTTATTACACACATTTAACTTAGGAAATGTGCCAGGAGGCTTATATATATATTTTTTTTAATTAAATAAATAATATATTCCAAAACCATACGATGTAAAAAATTTAATGTTTAGCTCACAATGTCTCGTCTAGCTTAAACGGATAGTTGTAGGTAATATGATAGAACGCCTCCGCTGTATCACCAAAACGATATATAGACATATAGTTGTAATTTAGTTATTTGCTATAATTTATTTTATTTTAAACATTTTGAATATTTGCATATTAATTTCAGGCTAACAAAGTTTATTTAGTTTGGCATATATATGTTTATATATATATATATGTATACCCGCTTTATAATATTTTTAATTTCAGTTAGATATCGTTGCTATAACAAATTAACCGGTAGTTATCGAATCTTATTTACATATAAGACAAATTTTTATTTAAGAACCTTACTAACAGTTAGCCTAGTCAGTACTAAACATTTTACAGAAATGTAAAAAATAAAAAACATAAATTATAAGCAATTCAGTAAAAATTACTTGTATTATATATTTATCACTTTTTTAAGAGATATACACAAATGCTACTTGATTATAAATATAAATAAATAACGTTACTTACTTGCATTTAAAACTTATTTAGAATTTTTTAAATATTTGAGAAAAAATGTTATCTGTACGATCTTATCAAAGATATATCTTTTTAAAATATATTATTATTAAGCTTTCATCGAAAATGGACTTTTGATGCTTTTTTACAAATTTCAATTACATTTGTTAAACTTTTTTTATATCACTTAAGAATTAAATTAATATTTAAATAAAGATTTGTTGTGTATGTTATAAATTAAAATTAAGATCAAATTCATATTCTAATTAAAATGGAAGCATATATGTTATTAAATGACTACATAGCCGATGAGATGTTCAAGTAGTTGCTAAATAAAAATATGGATATGTTACGTGTAATTTGCATAGTAAAGAATATGAAAATAATTTGTAAATGTTATTAAGTGCAAAAAGTTTCCAGAATCATTTATGTCCATAAATAAAAATAATATTCTATTCCTGAAAAATCGTATATATTGTTATTATAACTCATATATATGTATATATATATATATATATTGAATCCTTTAACTCCTAGGATCAGCATAGGGCCGCAATAAAGATCTTCCACTCGATACGATTATTGGCTTGTAGTTAGTAACTCTCCCCAGCTTTTCCGCATGTGTGACATTTCCATATCAATTTGTCTTCTCCAAGTGTGTGCAGATCTCCCCCTTCTTCTGCTACCCATCGGGTTCTACTCAATCGCCATTCTTGTAGTGTCACCAGTCGGTCTACGCAAAGTGTGACCGACCCAGTCCCATTTGCGTTATTTGATTTCGGTTCTTTTAGGTGTTTGTTGATTAAAGACTATAAACGTTCATTTGAAATTGTACTTTAACAATTTTGTGTAATGACTGATTTACGAAAACTTTTAAGTTCGTATACTAATTATGCCATTCAAACATAATATTACTATACCATCGTATAACAAAGCTACAATTCAGATATAGTCCAACAAAGCAAAGGGAACTTAAACAGATTAAGCGAACGGCACAAGTTTTTCTAATTTTTTACTCAAGATATCGAAATGTAAACTGAAAGCAAAAAGCCGGTGATTCGACGACCCAAAAAGTTCTGCAAAATGATTTTGCAGAACCGGTGGCCAGAACTCTCAATCATGAGTAATGTATTTAAACTTAAATATCATATTGCAAATGGAAAACTGTAACAATATGTAAGACTAGTAAGATACCATAGCCTAGGTATAAAATATAATAATAGAAAATCTTCACAATATTTACTCTCAGAGTTGCAACTAAAGAGAAGAAAGTAAAACTAGTTTTTATAATATATACTATATTATATACTATATTATATAGTATAAATGTCTAAGAGAGAGCGCAGAAATTAACAAACTTCAGAAAGTGCATAAACCATATCTAAGCAGGATATTCACACAAAACAATTAGTAATGCGGATATAGCAACAAAACAGTGTTTAAACAGAAATTGAAGCCATGAATTTAAATAAACCAAGTTATTTAGATGATCCATTTTTAATATATTCGACTTTTTTTATGTTGTGGTGGAGAATTTAATTAAACTCTGTCTAGATTTCAGTCCATTCGATATTATATCGACCGCATCTAAAAAAAACTAATTTAAAAAAGGCTTTTGTATGTTATGTGAATAAATAATGAAATAAATAAAATTTTATAATTATAGAGTGATTATAGATTATAATTATAGAGGCATTTATCAGTAAAACTTAATAAATTCCCATTGGTATTAAATAATGCTTATTTCACAAGCAAAAGAAAGTTGTGTTAATATATCTTTGAATTTGTATTTGATCTGAAAACTGTTTCTGACCCGAACGGGTTTATAACCAGAACGTCTCGGTTTGTAGTGTAATTGCATAGAACTACGAAACGAACCATCCTGAAGCAGATAAAAGTGATATTAGGTATTTAAAGAAAATATATTATTGGTAAGTTTAATTTACATTTTTTTAAATATTAAGTATAAAAAATATTTGCTTTTAATTATGTTTTTAAGTATAGAATATTTATTTTATAATTGAAAAAATGAACTGAGTTCATGTGCTTATAGTTTATGTGGTTATAAATATATTCTCAAAACGAAACAATTAGAAAAGTGATAACGCATTATTGCTTAGTCAACAGCTAATTATCTTAATACAATATATGAAAAACATAGAGGTAATCAGCATATATTAAATAGTAGAAACAATTTCAAATTCTCACAGCTTTGGTATAACTGTTGACATGTTATCTGATGAACATCGATGTTATATACATATATATCAAATAATTTAAAAATATTTTTTCTGAATTAGTACTGATAAAACTCTGGGTCTTTAAAAATGCTTTAACTTGCTTTAAAATATTATTCAGAATGTTTAATTAAAACTATGGAAAACCATATTTTGTTAGATGTCATGTTCATATAGTAATGGAAATAATCGAAGCTTTCATATAACTAGATTTCCATTCAATAGATAAGTTCTCTCATATATAGGCTGCAAGTTACAGCACCAAAAATAACTAAATTATTTACCAAAAATTACACAATTTTACAAAAAACACACTAAGATCAAATGAAACTCCAAAAAAAAATTGAAAAAACAAATGCACCATTGAAGAATAAAAGTGCTTCAATTTATTACACGTTAAACTATCGAAATTCCATAATTTGTTTCTTGTAAAATTTTTTAAAATAGACTTATCAAACCTCAAAAAGCTGAACTTCTTTTTCATTTTTGATGCAAATTTGAAAATTTCTATTTCCATTCCAAAAACTTACCGCTTTCCTTCAATTTGCAAACTTTTCTTGCAAAATGATTTACATATAATCCTCTCTTCCTTCTATCAACAATATTTTTTTTAAGTGTTGAATGTTGTTCTTGGTTCCGTGAAAATCTGTATAGAGGGAAAAATTGAAGGAATTACATTCCGAATTCATGGGGATATAGATATGTTTGCATGAAGGTTAAGTAAAAAGAAAAGGTTGTGTGGACTAGCTGAGAGATGAAGATGTGGGTGTTTCTTAATTAAAACTAACCTCAGTTGCAGTGTATAGCCTGGATACTTTAATGGATCGTACACATATATCAAAAGGGCTTAAATTAATGTTGGCATTGAGAGAGGAGCACAGATGGGTGATATCATGGTGAGTAATAGTGCAGCCATACATATTAAATATTGAGGTATTTACGCGTAACTGTTTAGTACTTGACTATATCCGGATTCCAGAGATATCAGGTGGTCATTTGCTGTGCAACCATGGTCTCAAAGAGCATACAACTTTTTAAAGATTGAATAATTTCCACTTATGTTAATTTAATGAATTTTTATTTTTAATTTTATTTTTGCGTATAATAAAGTTTATTAGTTTTACAAGTATGCAGTTGATAATTTTAGAAAATTTATTATTAAAAAAATTATATTGGTACACATCTTTACATATCTTAATTTTACGAAAGCATTCTAATGATATTTATTTATTTTTTTAATATTAATTAAGACTATGATATATTTTTTATGCTATATTTCTTATACATGTAATATAAAAAATACCGTTTACAACGTTCAGATTTTTTACAAAAAGGTCTTATATATCTTTTTTTTTAATAAATATATTTATAAAGGTTAAATCTTTGCAATATTTAGTTGACAAAAATAATTAAATAAAGTAAAAATCATACCCAATACAAACAATTAAAAATTAATTAAAAAATTAGAATAATAAAATAAAAATAATTTTAACGAAATTGAGACACACTTCAGAGTTAAAATTTATCAAAGGACATTATTTAATATTTAATTTGGACAAAAAAAAATTATTATACAATTTTTTCCTTTTTTTTTATACAGGATAGAAATTCGTCACCATTAGAATTATTGTAATAAATAAAATTAAGTTTTTAATTCTTTGAAAGAATATAAACCTTTTCATAAGAAATGCAGTAATAAGTAGGATTTTTTTTATTGATATGCTTTTTGCAAAAATATTGGTCAATGTATATTAACGCTTATTAAATTTAAAAATCTAAATTATATTAATATTTAAAAAATATTTAATTTATGTATTGTAAGATTTCAGTGTCATAATTCAGATACTCAAGGTATAAGGGGGTATCTAAAGAGCTGCAAAATATTTTTAAAATAATGTTAAATATTTTATAATTAATTAGAAATAAAACAACAATGTATAGAAGTCATGTGTAATGTAGATTCTATTAATTAAGAATTTATTTAAATTCTAAAATTAAGGCGCCATATTTAAAAATGTCTTCCATAGCTGTAAAAACTAAATATATGCATTTACATAATTTAACTTCAACAATTTTTTAATGTAAGATTTAATAAGACTTTATGGAAAAATCTTAATATATTGAATATGTCATCAAAAATAAATAAGTCCCGGCAGTGTTTTGCTTGCAGTTGTTTAAGGAAATTTACTGAAAGTAGACATTTTAACCACAGAGCTGTAGTGTAGTTTTGGTTCATTTGGTTAAAACGCGTGAAGTCACCGCTTCCAGTTTGAAAGGTTAAAAATTTAAAGATTGGCATTAGTAGTATAAAAATTATATACGAAAAAATAAAACCAACAAACCACTAATGATAGGTATTTAGTCACATTCAAGCAGTCAACGATGCAGCTTAAAAATTCAATCATTTAAATATTCTTCAATAAGAAACGGTTTTTTTTTGTCATTTAAAAATAATGACTTCATATAAATAAATTTTGAAAGGATGTAAGAAATATATATCTCAGTAAAATCTGTATTGATTTATTTCTAGTGAAAAACGGTCCTATAACACTTACGAATATAACGCCTCATTTATAATATAGACATTTGAATAAAATAAATGTATATGACTATTTTTTAATATTTTTATAGAATGAATAAAGTATTCGTGTTGCTGTAAAGCTAGACTTCCTTTGTATAGTGACAAAGAAGCTTTATTAAAATTTAGAGGGGTTTTGAATAGCAAAGAAAGAAATAAAGGACAAACACAAAAATTTATTTTAATTTTATTGAAGTTTGGCTGACCATACAACGCTGTTTCGAGTATTGCTAAGTACTCTTCATCAGTGGTCTTTCGAAATAATCGAATTTTGTTTAATTAGTTTATAGTCCGTATATAATTTGTTTTGACTGCAAGTGCCAGGCTTAGAACTCATGCCTGTCAAATTAAAAGCGATGACTAATCGTGTTTATCCACAAGAAGCCAAGGCTGCACAAACTTTCAATGCTCAAGTTCCAGGTTTTATTGTCACTTATTTTTATTTAATTAGTGACACCAACCAAAGCACTTGCCAAAGTGCTTTACAGCAACACGAATACTTTATTCAAATATTAGACTTGTGAAAAGTAAAGAACAATATGTTAAAATATAATATTGTTCAGCTTTTCCTAACCGCGAAAGCGGATTTGTAGAATAACATAGCATAGCTTCTTTGTAAAAGCACCAGAATGGTCGCTTTACATATAGTAAGTAAAACAATATGCATTACAAAATGTCTCTACAAAAAGAGTAGCTTTGAAAAAAATAAAGAATAGGCGAACTCAAAAGTTAACTTTTAATTCGTTGAACTTGTGTTTCCAAAATAAAGCTGTAGTTTATAAGCTCGTTCTATTTTAAAGCACGGCAAGTGCTTTGGTTAGTGTCACTAATTAAATAAAAATAAGTGACAATAAAAAACCTGGAATTTGAGCATTGAAAGTTTGTGCAGCCTTGGCTTGTTGTGGATAAACACGATTAGTCATCGCTTCTAATTTGACAGGCACGAGTTCTAAGCCTGGCACTTGCAGTCCAAACAAATTATATACGGACTATAAACTAATTAAATAAAATTCGATTATTTCGAAAGACCACTGATGAAGAGTACTTGGCAATACTCGAAGCAGCGTTGTATGGTCAGCCAAATTTCAATAAAATTAAAAATAAATTTTTGTGTTTGTCCTTTATTTCTTTCTTTGTTATTCGAAAACCCTTCTAAAAATTTTTATAGAATTATAAAAAATATTTTTATAGAATTATAAAAAATATTTTTATAGAATTAGAAAAATAAATAAATAAAAAATAAATAACCATATTTTTATAGAATTATATGAAAATATTTTTGTTAGAATATTTCAATAGAATTTTTAAAATAATTGACCATAAAACTTGAAATCTATAAAAAACATTTTTAAATTTTATAAACCTATTAGCAAATTTTAAAGTATATTTAAATTATTTAAATAATTATTATAAATAATGTTTATCAATTAAAAGTGGTGCCTTGTTTAGCGTTAATATTAATTTTACGATGTCAGTTCAAGTGCTATAGTGATCTATAATTTTAAAGCTCTTAGTTTAGGTGGGTTTATGCATATAGTTCTATTGGTTTTAGTAGCAAAATAATAAACAAATATTTGGTTATATAGAACTACATCAATTTATTTATGTGATTGTATATTTATCGTTCACATTCGCAATATGTGTTAAAATAGCTAATATATTATTTTTTTACATACTTTAAGTACTTTTAATATTGTTAAATAGAAATGTATATATATATATATGCAAATTTTTTTTTAAAATAATTTTCATCATAAATTTGGTCATTCTTAAAGCTTTTATAAAAATAATTTATTATAGTAATAAGAACTTCGAAATTATATTTATACGCTAAAGCACTTGATATGTTAGAGTAAGAATTATGTCCTAAAATTTTTGAAAATGTAAAAGGTTCTTGGAAAACAAAATGGAGGAGTGTCTGTAAAATTTATAATTTTAAGCTAAAACGCAATTTAATTAAAAAATGTTGGGTGTATATTAAAAGAAGTTTTATTTTGTTAAATAAAATTTTTTTAAAATTAATACATTTTTAATTTAATTAATAAAACAAAAAATAACAATTTACAAAATAAAATAAAAACAATAAATTTAAAATAATTAAATTATTATCAGTAGTTTATGTACTTTGCATCTTTTGTGTAAAAAGCGTTCCCACTTAAAAATTTACGGAGGGAGTATTGATGCAATATTTACGCATATTGTTAAATTAGTATTTAATTATATTATGTCCGCATTATTATTTTGTTTTAAAAATATATGATTTACATATTTTTCTATATTTTTTATTACATTTTTATGCGCGCTTAAATTTTTGTTTTTGTATATATAAATATACTTGCATTAAATAAATTTTACATATATGTATGTATATATATTTATATATATCTTTTGTATATAAATATCTATAATGTATTTTGTATACATATATTTTGCTTCTTTTATTTTTAAATAAGTGTATATATAATTAGTTTTTTTTTTATATTTTAATTTAGCTTGTTTTTAGGTTTGCTTAATTCTTTTTTTTTCTTCTTAACATTAATATTAATGTTTAATTTAAATTGATATTAAATAAAAATATTTTAATAAAACTAAATATTAATAAACATCAATTCCCACTGATGTTACGTTTTATTATTTAAATCGTTTTGACTGGGCGGACTACCTTGTTGATTTATTTGTTGATTATGTTGTTGCTGTTGCTGCAGTTGTTGTTGTGGTTGTGGTTGCTGTTGCTGTTGATGATGTTGTGGTGTCGTCAAAATTGTAGGTGTTGATAATGTTGTAGCTTGTGTGATAACCGTTGTTGCTGATATAGTCTGGTCTGGCTGCTGTGATTGTTGCTGCTGCTGTTGATGATTATTTAACGGATGATTCGAATTGCACAATACACTATATACAGAATCGACTTTGCTTAGTTTTTCAAAAAGTGGTATCAGATCAAAAAGTTCAGTATCTGTAACATCATCAAACCATGATTTCACAGGAACCTAAAATAATAAGTATTTGAATTTTTTTTATGTTTATATTAGCAATTTTATTGAGATTTTTGCAAAGCTATAAACTTACCGCATTGTCTGGATGAAATATATAACTGGCTGGTGAATTATCAACAATCACAATTTTTTGCAAATCACGACCAAGACGATTTAAGTCTTTAATATAATTTCCCCTGTAAAAAACGCATGATTCCCTAAACAGTCTTGCGCGAAACACATTCCATCTATAGAAATTAAAATAAATAGTGATCAATTTAAAACTTCATTTCTTTAAACTTGTTTTATTGATTTTATTTTTTTATTTTATTATTTATTTTATTTTTTATTATTTATTTTATTTTTTATTATTTATTTTATTTTTTATCTTTTTTTATTATTTTTTTTTTTAAAATTTACCTATCTAATAGATCTGCGACTGGATCCGCATATTTGGCTAGTGATGCAGTAAATAATACACACTCATATAGCTCACCCATTTTTCGTAGAAACTGATCAACGTAGGGTCTCTTCAGTACATATACTTGATGTATAGTTCCATCAATTTCTACTGGAACTACAAAATCGGCATTTGGAATTGGCTGTAAAAATTTGTAGAAAAAATAAAATATTTTTTAAAATATAAAGTTTAGAATATAGTTTATAAGTATATAAATTTTAGTTTACATACATATACATAAATACATTAGATTTTAGTGTAAGACTACTAAGTTAATGGACTTCGACCAAACTTAGTATGTTATAAATACTCGTAGTTTCAGTGCATAAGCTCGGATATAAACTCGAGTTTGGCGTTTTATAATGAAAGCATAAATTGTAAATAATTTTATACAAATTAAGACATATTTGGAATATCTGGATTTGTGATCTCAGACCACAATATAATCTATTTATTTATATAAAAATTGGAATAAATTGTTATACAATTTAATATATATAAAGAGTTATAACAACTAAATCATAACTCAGTAATAACATTTTATTTTAAGTTTAATATTATAAATATTGTAGAATTCATAAAATTTATTTTGCAAAGGTGATTAAAAATTTAATCAATATTTTTTGATGCATTTAAAAAATAAGTATGGAAGGAGTTCCTATGGTGTAACCAAATCTATCTGTTACTTGCTGTCTGGGACAATTGTCTGAACTGTGGATAATAAATGAAAGGTGAGCGAATATATCAATATAAGTATAGATTAGGAGCTTCAATCACATTCTTAATTTTGTAATCGATATTGATAAATTGTGTACTATTTACTTTTAAACGTTAGGTTAGGTTGTACCGGCGATCCTTAGTGGATCCACTTAGACACAAAGAGCCGTGTTATCGTATATATAGTAAAAACTCATGGTTTAAAAGCACCTAGAATCTTTGGCGAAGCATAAAATACTATTTAGTGTCAGGTCCTGTATTTTAAACGTTTAAGATAAACGCATTGTTTTTACAGTTTATTGAAAAGAATGGGGAAAAAATATAATGACTTATCTACAAGACAAACATAAGCTATATTGGAACACAATATGTGGTGCTGTGTGCTTAAAAAATATACGACAATTATTATGAATTTTGAAAGATTGACACGCAAATCATATTATTTTTATTGAACTTTAAATTAATTAATGTTACTAAAATTAGATATTCTCATTATCAATTATAACTTTAAGAGTAAGTTTCTGAAAAAGAGATTTATTGAACAAATAACAGTAAAATCAGAATACATTCGGAAACAATTAAAGCTCAAACAAATGAACATTCCCGTCTTGAATCTGAATATTTAAGAACTCCATATACCATATGTTTGATTAAGAAGTAAATTGTGTCAGATTTAGAGTTGCCAGTATTCAAGAATATGATTTTAACATCTATCCAATGCCTTAATATGATAAATGAATAATAATTGTTTATACTGTAAATGTTCTTAAGTTCCGTTTAGAGAGACATCGCAAGATATGTCTTCTAAAGTGGGAAAAATTTTTAAAGTTATGACTGAAACTTAGAATTATGTTAACATAATAAATTATATATATCGCAATTTTTATTTTTAATTATAATTTGATAGATTTAATTAAAAATTTCTCTTACCTTAAAACTACTGTGCACTAGTGTTTCATCCAAATCGATGACCATGCATTTTTTGTGCATATCTGAGTGCCTAACCTGAGGTAGAAGGTACCTTTGTTGGTCCGGTATAGGTGGCGGTGTTGTTGATCCATCAATTGGAGTTCCATTTTGATTCGTTTTATTTCGATTTCGACGCCAACAGCATAAAATCGATTGAAAGAAACCTCGTTTTTGTGGCTTTAGTCGTTCGACGTCATCTACAATTAATAATAGAATTTCAATAAAATATCATTTTTAAAATAAACTATTTATCGATATTATTATTAACTTTTCATTAAAATAAAATATAAAAATAATTTAAAGAAATAAACTGCTCAAAAATTTTGAAATGAAGAAAATTTAACAGATTCGTAAAATCATATAATTTCTATGACAAAGTGAATGTTAATAGAAGATGGAAGTAGTTACTGATTTAGTAAGTAGTTCCAAGATTATATTACTAATTCATTTGAACTTATTATATTTGTAATTTTAGGTTTAGCTACATTTCATATAATATACAAGAAGATAACTTTTGCTTAATTAGTGCACAGAATTTTATAAAATTCAGAGCTTCTTTGTATAATTGCATACCACTAACTATATTAAATTCGAAGTCGACTGATTTAAGCTCAAACTTAATTTCATACAAACTGATGATTAAAAATACTAATGATTAAATTAGTAACATTATATTAATATAATAATATAATTAAAAATATGGAAAGAACACATGAATAACCATAAATCTTTCTTAAAGAGTAACATATATATGAATATTCAGATTGCTTATCTTACAATATCTTCTGCGTATACATCTTATTCTAGGTTCGTCTTCTAATTCACACGTACGGATATAATATTTTCAGTTTTTAAAACTAATCACGATTATTAAAGGATCTTATTATTTTTTTTAGAAAACCTATATTTGTGTTGACTGCCAGGCTTATTTCTAGCATTTGTACAGAGAGTACTTCTATTTTCTTTTTTTTTCGTGCTGTTTTTGTCTGATTAAGGACAGTACTGTCATCGCTTTAGTGCCTACTGACCAATGCCTTGTCAGGCATTTTCACAAACTTCGTCACTTCAATCTTAGTTCAGCCCAGTAAAATTTTCACCCTCGATCAATTTTAGCTTTACCATATAGTTTCTGCTGCCTTAATTAGTGTGAACCTTGTAGTAGAGTGAATAGATCAATAGTTAAGAATATAAAATTAATCACAATCACAATCTGCTTTAAATCTTAAAGAAATAAGTTAAGTGTAATGAAATTATAATTAGGTTATGCACGAGGTCTACCAAAACTACTGTTAAGATAAGCACCAGATAGGTAAATAGGTTATACCGGCGATCCCAAGGGATCCACTTAGACCTATAGACCCGTTGTGTTACCGTATAGTTAAAAACTTAAGGCTTAGAATCTTTGGCAAAGCTTATAATGCTATACAGAGGGAGGGTCTTGCTGTTTGTCAAGATCCTCAAAAAAAAAGCTCCTAAAGTAATAAGGCGGCACCGGGCATGTGCTGGACAGCAGATGGGAGGCACTTTTATTGTCCTCTTCACAACTGCGGCAGGTATAATTGAAAGAGAAAGATTTAGTCTTCTAGCACGGTTACTTAAATACAATGACCTGTAAGTAAACCTACTACAGGACTGATATCTCTACGGGGCAATACAATGACCTGTAAGTAAACCTACTACAGGACTGATATCTCTACGGGGCATCGCAATGAGTGAGTTTGATTTCCTTTTATTGGAACGTGGGTAAATTGCATACAGATACCTGCATATCTTTGAGTCTTCCCATCTTTTATTAAAAACTTGGCCACAGGAAGAACTTAGTGACAGTAAGCACTATTGTAATAGTTATTGTTTTTTATATAAGAAAAAATTACCATATTACCATTGAGTAATTGTCATTGGTAATTAAGTGTATTGAGTTGCTTTACTATAGTAAAAAAAAAAGAGTGAAACAAACACAAAAAATTATGTTTTAACAAAAAATATGTTTCTTTTTTTAATGCTTACTGTTGTGAACACAGTTTTGCACTTTATGCAAGTTAAATCAAATGAAAGCATCTGAACTGAAATCAATACTTGCTGTTTAACTAAATTAACCTATTAGTCTGCCTTATTGACACAAAACAAGTAGCGTAGCGCTGTAGCTATAATGTAGCAATATTAGTTATCAAAGTACAGGGTCATAAAATTACATTAAAAAGTCACTTTGACTTCGCATTTCAATTACGTTCTGATGGCATTATTTTTAGTTGCTCAACTCTGGCTCCATAACTCTAGCAATTATTGTAGGTAAAATACAATTACAAGTTTGACCGGATATTACAATCCATCACTGCCAAAGCACACATCTTTACAGTGGTGCTGCTGCGAGTGTGGAAGACAGAAAGTACTACCACATATTGAAAATGTATTTCTGTAGGTACACAAATATACGCCTATGATGAAAGCAGCATTATTTCCGTTTTTGACATGAAAATAAGCAGTTAATTTTAAATTGAAAATGTCAGCACCTGCAAAATCCTTACATATACAAATCTGTTCAATCATAAGTCTTGTTTCAGGAAAAATATGTCTGTAATATTTCATTGTTAAACCGTTCTTGTGAATGTATATATATTAGGAAAAAGTTATTTGGATATACTTTTAATATTTAGTTAACTTAAAGTTATTTGTTTTATTAGTGTTTTGCTTAAGAGCCACTACCCGCATCAGATAAAACTTAGGAAGCTCCCTTGTAAATATTGCTTTCATAATAAAATATTTATTTTCTTGAAATGAAAGCTGCGTGGTAAAAATTTATTTTTGTAAAACTATATTTCCTAAGAATAAAGTAATGCACATTGTATGTAATTTATATGTACCATATATGTTATTTACAATTCACTCATTAGGGTTTTCATTAAGAGCAGGAAATAGTTAAAATTGTTGCTTACATATGCAAATGAGTAAATATTAAATCCTGCATGTAATAATTTTAACTAAAATTTATCAGATGAATTCAACTTAACAGAAAAGCTGGGTTTAGGATTTTGCGATTGTGTGGTTGAAAATCGGATACGATATATGAAGTGTGTATCTTATATTGTAATTAAAAATGAATTCATTCTAGAGAAACACACTTTGTTGTGCTAACTTTTGTATGAATAGCAAATAAGTTGTGTCTTAATATTGTATAAAATATATTTTTCTTAGTCACTATTAAAAGATAAATATTAATATAATTATTTTTCTAACATAGATACAAATGCATACATTTATTATGGTTAGATTAAGTTTAAAAGTTGAGTTTTGATGTGAACAACCACACTAACACAATAACCATTAATTCATATTTGACTTCTTGCGTTATTTCAGATAAATCCTTAGGCTTTCCATATAAGGGTAGCGAGAGTCATAACAAGTCTACTTTAGTGACGGGCAAGAACAAAGAAAGTAATCGATCAGTTGTACTTCCTCTTTTAATAGATTCCATGTCCAATACTGAATTGAAACAATTAATTTCGTAGACAATATTTAATAGGAAGTTTTCGAAATGATGAAAACTTTAAATTTTGTTTTTTATAAACATTTTCTTTTGTTCTTGAATTAAACTTGTATAGTTTATAACAACTTAGGAATGAAAACACAAAACTTTTAATGAAATTTTAAAGTTAATTGAATTTAAACAATCTTGAAACAGGGAAGTTTGTGTTAAAACTATTAAGTGTTCGCATGCCTAAACGACATAAAACTTATTCTGCATTGTTTTTGGATAAGTGTAGGTGTGTCAACTCTCCATAGTGAAATCGTATTATTTTAAGTTTAATTACGTTCAACTGCGGTTAGTTAAATGTTGAAAGTGATTTTGTTGGAATCGATTAAAGTGACAATCCATAAAATATACTTTAATTTTAGTTTATGCCTACAAATATACAAAAATTTAATTTCAGAAATAATTTAAAATAATATCTAGCCATATTTAAAGATATTAGAACTATATATCAAGTCAAGTATAACAAGAACTTAAAAACTAATATAACTTGTATTGAAATTGGATAGTTTAAAATATAATCAAAAACCCTATACTTTTAAAATTGTTGGTCTTTGCTGGCAAGAAACTGATCTATCGTTTGAAATTTTAACGTCTAAAAATTTTTATAGAGACCAAAAAAAATAATAATCAAAAGGTGCAAGATCAACAGAAAATAGTTGGCTTGACAATAATCCCATTCAAACTGTAAAAGCTTTTAGTGAGTTACCAAACTCGCATTATATTGGTGGAATACTGGTGGAATCTCTTGTGTTTAACATTGCTATAGACAACTAATTTCGAGCAACGATCAAATCAGTAATGTCAACGCAACGGCACAAATTTCTTCCTGTAACTCATTGAGATTAAGCCTGAGCGTTGCATATGATGATGAGCAGATGAATTCAATCCCTCAGCGATGTCACAAGCTGTTATCCAGCTTTTTTTCAATGCATCTTATCAGCTTTCACAAACCTTCGGAAGGCAGTGCGTCTTTAAAATCCTTGCTAAACATAGTTGTCAAAATATATTATGAATATACAAAGTGTGAAGTTTGATGAAATAATAATAAGTCCTCTATTTGGAAAAATGAAATTACTTTCCGAACCTAATATTTTATATTATATTTCATTAATTATATATATCATATTAATTTAATTTTAAATTAGTAATTTAAGCACAAATAATCTAAAAACAATTAGTAGTCTTACATTTATTTATATATTAGACGTGTAAATCACATTAAAAATATTCAAAGTATAATTGTATTTCAACCAATAATTCTATAGGTGTGGAAACAGATGTTAGTCATAGACACAAAATTCTAGTACATACCCCTGACGTTTAAGTAAACTGTACTCAAGTCACATATTTTTATTTGTACAAAATTTGCACAAACATCAAGACGTTGGATTCTTCTTTAAAAATTGTGATTTAGAGCATTAAATTTAGTTGAGTAGTAGCAGCTGTTTTTTATCAATATCTTATTATTTTTTTTATAAAGTAAATATCAAACAGCGTGCAGTGATTAAGCTCTTTGTTTAAAATGTGGCTCCTTTCCACTGTGGAAAGGAGCCACATTAAAAGGTAATTATGCATTGCAGATGATTCATGCGAAAGTTATTTAAAAAAAACATTTGCAACGTTAAAAGTCATAGACATTTTAGAAGCAAAGTAATGCCTGTGTTA